TATATATGGATTGATCAGTATATTATATAAATATAAAATTTCAACAATGACAAATGTAGGTTAACATATAATTTAAATATAAGTATTGCAACAATCAAAAAATCTTTAATGATTTTTCAAGACTATTGTTTAAAACGTATGTGATGAATGTTTCAATAATGTAGGTATTAAAAAGGTATTGTTAACGGAAAATATAATTGTCAACAATACTATCAAAGAAGTAAAAAGAAATTTTTAAAACATTCATTCTTATCTTTGAATAAGCATTGAGAGGTGAAGCTTTGAAAATGAATCGCCTTATGAATGCAATTTGCATATCAGGATGGTTTACGTTCTTTCTCAGAAAGAAAAAAACTATGCCTGAGCTGCTTTCAGCAGCAAGTATGATTGAAGAGTCCCACGGGCCTCAATTACCCGAGCTTGGCATAACATCTGGCCATGGTGACCAAAGGTCATTGGGTGATTTTGATGTAAAAGATCCTCCGCGTATTGTCTCCACATTTGTAGAGTCGCAAGAACCGGAGTGGTACAGGAATGACTGGGAAGAATCAGGAATTAGAAAGTTTTACAGTGGTGACAGTAGTTTGATACATCCACCAAATATAGCTGGTTGCACTAATGCACCACTGAAAGCTGAAATAAACCTGAGCAGTGAGTCGTCATTATTTTTTTTATAAATATTTTCATAACAAACATGGATTTAAAAATAACTTCTACTCGTCTTAACATGCAGAGCAGGAAAAAAAATCGGAGCATCCAGAATAACTTTTAATCTAATGATTTCAAGTTCTAAAACTCAATCTTAATGGTTCACGGTGGTAAACCTAAAATATTCAATTTAATTAATGCAAAAGTTATTTCTACTTAAGAAATTCTACAGCAGTCTTATTTTCTCAGGATGCACATACCTTTTGTTTGAAGGATTCATATGCTTGACCCTCAAAATAAAGGTGCAGCTGCATTCTGTCCCTAATAATTAGGTCAAGAGAGTTTGGACTCTTTAATTTTATTTTTTGAGTAATTTGCAGCATCTCCAGAATTTTTTAAGAGAATCGAAAAAGTTTTGCACACAATTAGAAATTTAATTATTATAATTTAAATATAAGTTTTTCAATAATAAGTTTAAAAAAATAGATAAAACTAATGGTATTTAGTTTTTCCAAATATAATTCTATGCAAAAAATAATTATTAATTGCGTTTTGTTACTTTTATGACATTATTTAATAATGCAACTTTAAACGGCAAAATACAAAATGTGAACGAAATTGGACAAATAGTTCTTGAGAATTCTAAATTTTAAAAATACAGCCTTTTTAAATTTTAACAACTCAAAAACTATTGCCCGAATAAACTCAAACTTTATAATTAGCCCTTCAGCCTTCTTTCGACGGAATAGAACAATTGGTACTAAATTCGAAAATGGCGACAGTTATAGTTTTGAAGAAATTGGTGATAGCTTGTCGGAACCAATGTCTAGAAACTTAAAATAAAATTTACTTGTTGTGATTGAAAGTGGCGTTAAAAAACACGGAAAAATAGAATAAAGTAAAAAAAGTTATCAAAGTGGTACTAAAGTTTTCGGGTATATCGCCTTCTTGAAATCTTGTGATCTTCAATAAACAGAAGAACTACTGGTAACAGCCTAATGGTGGGAATATGCAACTGGTAATTCGAAAATAGCGATAGGTATAGTTTTGAAGAAATTGGTGAAAGCGTGTCGGAACCAATATTTAGAAACTTTAAATAAAATTTACTTGTTGTGATTGAAAGTTGCGTTAGGAACCACGGAAAAATAGAATAAAGTTTAAAAAAAAGTTATCAAAGTGGTACAAAAGCTTTCGGGTATATCGCCTTCTCATGAACAAAAGAACTGCTGGTAACAACCTAATGGTAGAAAGATAGAACAAATGGTACTTAATTCGAAAATGGCGATACAGTGGCGTAGCGAGGGGTGGGCAAGGGGGGGCATCATGCCCCGGGCGCTACTCACAAAGGGGCGCCAAATGGTCCGCAAAACAAAAAATTGCTGGAAATTTTTTTTATTATTATAATTGATTTTTGGAAAATATATTTTAAATTAGTGCCAGTGTAATATAATAAATGTTAATTCATAAATATTATTCATAATATTTAATTCATATTGTCACTTTAATAGTCTAAATCAAACTGTAATAATATATTCATAATAGAAATGGCACGTCTTTTCTACTGGCAGACCTGTGTCTGTCAGCACTTCCTTATGGCATCTACGCTGTGTGGTTACATAAATTATCTCATAATATGTTATAATAAATATTTGCAGTGCACAAAGTACAAACATTCTTTCAGAACACTATTTATTTTTATTTGTATAAACGCAATCCATCTTACGCATGTTATTTTAAAACGATAACAATAACACTCTAATGTACTTATATGTACAGTCACGGGAAAAAAGTGTCCGGAAAATAACAACTAAAGGATCGTCTATTTTTTAATATAGATACTTCTCAGACACACAACAAATACAGCGTTTTGTCGTTTCTAGGAAAGGACACAAACAACGCCGTATTTGTTGTGTGCCTGAGAACTATCTGTTTTTTTAAAAAAAGATTATTTGTTACTTTCCGGATACTTTTTTCCGTGACTGTACATATCCGTGACATTTGCGACAGGTTGTGGAATTCCGCTACAAGTTAGGTAAATACCC